GTAAATTGTATAGAGAATGGAATTGAGAGAAAAGTAGTGTCTTAGTAGAACCCTAAAATTCTATATGGACGAAAACAATACTTCTGAAATATAGATAACAATATTTCAAGTGACAAACATATTATATTGGATTTGAGACAAGCTAAATGATCCGTTTAAAACTGTGATACCCCAAAATGGTATAGTCCTACATCAGTTGTCTATGCGAATGTAGTTAGTCAAGGAAGTCAGGTATTAGCAATAGGTAGCACTTTTAGCGATGAATAGAAAAAACTTGTTTCACTCAATGGGTCTCAGGGCTTATATCATGCCAATAGGTGCACGTGCTTGAAGCCTAATAAATGATACCATAGCAGTCAACCAACCAGAAGTGTGAAACTAGGTTATATGTGAGACTAAGTGTTATATTGTGTAAGGGCAGTGGGAATCACCTCTAGAACCCATTGGAGCTACCTCTAGAATCCACTTTGGTCGATGGTGATCATGAATGGATTATTGTCATGGCATGATGAGGATGTCATCTAATTAAGGTGAGATGATCTTGATACCCCAAAATAGTGTAGTTATTGTCATGGCATGATGAGGATGTCATCTAATTAAGGTGAGATGATCTTGATACCCCAAAATAGTGTAGTCCCGCATCAATGTGTGTTCGAATATGGATGGGTTTATATAATTAGTCAACGGAGTCATGTAGCAAAAATAGATATCAGTTATTGTGTTGGATTGAGCTAAACAACATGTTTCACGTAGTGGGTCGTAGGGGTTGAATAGGACCAATGAACCCGCGCAGACCCGTGGCGTGAAAGTATCTTATCGATGTCATTGATATTGCCTAATATAACTAAAGGAATTGGCCAATAATGTATATTTTACAATGGCAATCTAAGGTTCGAAATACAAAGAAGTTGCTTTCTAGTGGTACATTAGGCAAAAATACAAAATTAGTAAAACCCAATGTTTAGACACTTCTCATATTTCTCAAATCAATAACTTGGTTCCAAAATTCTTAACCACCCACACTCCATACACCAATAAAGATGAGTAAAAGCCATAAATACTACTAATATTTCAAAGTCTCAGACCTTCTTATTGTATGATTGGACCTGATATGGATTGAGAACTATTAGGTTGTGAAAAAATTAACGTTTAGAGGTTTGTTTGGCAACTTGAAGGTGATGATAAAAATGTGAAATGATACAATTTCAAGACACAAATAAAGGAGATGAAAATGTGAAATGATATAATTTCAAGACAAAGAAAGGTATATAATCTGCATATTTGTGTGCTTAGATTTTATTAGGTATGTTTAAATTACACTTTTAGGGCGTTATATTATATATGCAAATCATCTGATATGTAACCACAATATTTATTACATATCCTTGATATTTTCCCAATTTCCACCATCTGATAAGGATTTTCACTGTCCAGTATTCCCCGATATTCGATATTTAAAACTGTGCTCCTACTTGGCATCTTTTTCACACTTGACTTTAGAGTTGCCAAATATCTTGTCTCTTTAACGTCTTTCTGATGTCCTTTTAATGTTTGTCAAAAATGGTTCTGTTCACATATACACCTTCACTTTCAGATTGCCAAACACCTCCTGTCATTACAACGGTATTTCTACGACTTGACTTTTTAACTTTTGTTTTAGCGCATGACCGATCATGTTGTACACGTTTTGGAATAAATATATAAAGAACACACAGAATGATATTTACAACTGATATTTTGGAAGTTTCCGATGGGTTGAACAACTGACCAATAATTTCAGAGTTTTTGTCACTCATTTTATTTTAATCATTCATCGTTCATTTTGCATGGAGACATCTTGGGCTTTTTAGATTTCCTTGAAGCTTTCCAAGTCTAACTCTTATGTATCTGCATCCATGCTTAAAGATGTCGTAACAGTAAGGTAAGTTTTTAAATTTCCCTACCCACCATATGGTCTTTTGTAGTTTATGGAAGGTGCTTTCTATTTCATAATCACTTGGAGAGGAATTTACAGATTCAATGGTTGGAGTCAGGAAGATAAGTGGTCATGGAAAAAGTCATAAACTTGATCCATCTTATGTTCAGTGCCTTAATAGATTGAGCACATAGGTATCTGATGCACGTGAATAAGGTACTTTCTTCCAATATTGTTTGCTTTAGTATGCATGCTCGATATGATCCCATATTTCAACTATAAGTAGCATTTCCTATTATTGCGTCAAAAATGAGAATCTTGTATCTATTAAAAGCTCTTCTTCTTTAGCTATCTTAGCGGTCGTCTTATGTACCTTAATTTGTTTTTTCCATTATCACATAACTACGTGTACAGTTTTTTCTCGTAGCTCCAAATTGTTAGACTTAATATTTTATATCGTTCTTTACTCTCTTTCTTAATACTACAGTTTCAGATCCATTTGCAAATTGAACAAATTTTGTCGATGGTGGTAAAAAGCTCAGACACAATTCGCGATATTAAATCAAAGGTTTTTGCACGGGAGGGACTGTCAGCGAGTGACCAAGAGTTATTTTTTGAAGGCAACCACCTAAGTGACACATCGAAGACATTAGCTGACTACAACATCTGCCAAAATTCCATGATCAACCTTTTGTTTGGAGGCACTATTCAAATATTTGTAAAGATCCTTTCAACTGGGAAAACTTTGAAGCTCGTGGTGAACGACAAAGATACCATCCAAAATGTGAAGGCTAGGATTGAAGCTATGGAGGGAATTTGTCAGAATCGTCAAGGACTCATCTACATGGGAAAATCTCTTGAAGATGACCATTCATTACTTGCTTGCAATATACAAAATGGTTCAACCCTCCAGATGATTCTATGTCCAGTGGATAAGTTTGATATCTTACTCTGCACAATGAATGGGAATCTTATAAAACTTGAAGCAAGATCTTGGTATACTATCCGAGATATCAAGCTGATAGTTGAGGGTATGAAGGATATTGATGCAACCAAACAAAGGCTTTTTTGTGATGTCACAGAGCTGGAGGACAGCCTCACGCTTTCCGAATGCAGAATATTCGATCGGACAATTCTTCACTTGCAAGTTGACATGTAGATATTGATTGAGATTTGGAATCGGAGGACTATCACATTAACGATTGATAGTTAGGATTTCATTGGTTCGGCCATTCGGAAGATTGAAGAAGAAATGCCTGTGAGCTTCTGCATCAATTAATAAACTTTATCTTTGGAAGTATGAGATCAGCTACTTTAAAACTTCTGGTGACGTTTGTTCTGGTCTTTCGAAGGTAATAACGTATTGGGATGTTTTCAAGTTGTTAAAGCAATAATCTTTTTGTCTTTCCTTTTATGTGCAAAAAACTTGAGCATGAGTGAGTTTATGGAAATCTATGCTAATGGTTTTGATTGTTAAAATTTCCTTATATCTTCACTAGTGTTTCAACATATGGGCATTTTATGCGTTTGATCATCTTTGGATGATTTCTTTAGTTTATTTGTCGTGTTTCTCTGCAGAGTGTAATACTGATGTTTCTATGATTTTTATCTCAACCTCAATTGTAAGCTTGGCGTTTATCTTCAAAGTTGCTTTCTTTTCATGTTTGGTTTTAAGCACATATGGATAGTTAGTTTTGGTATTTTTGATTGCACATTTTGGACTATTTCTTAAGAAATGAGCCAGCTGAAATCATTGTCTATTCTTCTATGTTTTTTCTCCTTGTTATGTCGAAATAGCACTTTATTCATGCTCATAAACTTACATTGCAAGAACAGAGTCAATCAATAATATTTTCCAGGAAGGATGCTATTGAAAACTTTAAGAAAAAAAGCTTGGGAATTATGTTAATGGTGGATGTCAAAAGAACTGAAGAAAGAGCTATCAAATTTATGGTAAAGTTGTGAAAGCTTGGGCTTCTCTTTCTTAAGAAACCATCCGGTGGGGACGACCCGACATTAAATGTGCACGGAAAGGATGTCAACCGTTGAATCTGGACACAAGAATCTTGAAATCTTACGATCCGACGGTTGACATTATTTAGGTGCACTTTTCCATCTTTTTCTCTCTCACGTAAAAATTTCATGTGCGCTTAGGTCCGTAACATTAAATGTCCTTCAAATGAATGCTAGACCTTACATTATTGGATTTCGGGATTTATCCACAAATTTAAGGGTTGACATCCTTTAGGTGTATCTTTATTGCTAGGTACCATTCATACTAGATATTCTTTAAGTTAAAATGTTAAGTTCGTGAATCATCATTTTCCATCTATGCAAGTATCTGAGTTATGCTCTTTTTTTTTTATCTATTTACAATGTGCCCCAGCCCCCTACTTTTACCAATGTGCTGCAGCCCTTAAAATTTGAAAAACGTTTGCCCAAGCCCCTCCATCATGACTTCGGCTCATGTTTTTTCGATTTTTTATATTTTTTACCAAAAAACCCAATTTTACCCCTTCATCATGACTTCAACTCATGACCCCAGCTCATGTTTTCCCTAATATGTTAACTACAATAGTTAACATGTTAACTTTAATAGTTAACATGTTAACTATTATCGTTAACATGTTACGTGCTATGGATAACATGTTACGAACTTCCTCCATTTCTCAGGCTGAAACAAATCCGGCGTACATCCTCAGTCCATATATCAAATATTAATACAGTTTTGAGTGAGAACCCCTACCTAAATAGGCTTTTGAAATATCCAAATGGTGGAATTTTCATCATAAACTTGTCATCTGATAAATGTTTGCATTATTCATCATAAAAATAAATAATTTTAACGATAAATATCAACAGTCTATCAGATATTTCTTCAAACAGATGGTATAAAATCTTTGACATTCAATTAAACAAACCCAATAATATACAATAATACTGAAGATAATTCTAAGCTTAGGAACTTCTAAAAATGCAAAATGAATTAACTGAACTATCTCTTAGAAATTTCATCAAACAGGTAATCTACACGCCAAAAGCCCAACTTGACGAAGACCCATCAGCAAGCCAACGATAATAATGGAACAAACATGAGGGGTTTCAACAACGGAGGGCTTTGTGAGGCTGAGCGTTGCCTGCATAGTGAACCTCATTGCCATTAAAACCCTTCCACCAAAGCAAAATCAACGAGAGAAAAGGACATGTCAGCTCTGCAACCTCGCGAAGCAAAGAGCGGAGGAGAGAGCAGTGGTTACGGCGCCAGTCGTCATTGCCATCGGGGGGTTTATAGTGGCCCCTAGAGTTTGTTAGGGGCATCGAGGAAGGAGGGTAGTTAACATGTTAACTGTTAAAGTTAACATGTTAACTATTATAGTTAATATGTTAATTATTGTAGTTAAGATGTTAACTATTATAGTTAACATGTTAACTATTATATATAAACTGATAGCTATTATAGTTAACATGTTAACTATTATATATAAATAATAGTTAACAAATTATAAATAACAGTTAACATATAATGGATTATAGTTAATAGTTTACTGAATATAGTTATCAATTTACC